AGAACTTGGGGCTTTGGGATCAAGTTCAGGCTACACAGAAGAAAAACCTTTCCTGTCCGCGATTATGAACACCCCTGCGCTCCCACAGTCATGGCGTGAAGTGCTGAGGACATATTGGGTCCACTGTTTATGGACCAGGTATAGCTAATGGGATGAGGAGGACAGACGCCCCTGCGGTAGGATCAGGGCAACTATAGGGACGTCCCTAGAGGAGACCGTCATATAACCGAGGATCCCTTTAACTCCTATTGCTGTTCGTGAGCCGCTTTTAGCCTCCCAATTCGACGCATGCACTCCTCGATGTTATGAGGAGGGTACATGACTCTTTCTCGTTCAAAGCCCACAGGAGGTACCAGGATCGGCATATACTACTGAATCTTTCCTTTCTACGACAGACTGCCAATGATAAGCCGAAGAGAATCCTGTCATGAGATGGAGTCTCCGTCCACTTTATCGGAAAGCTCGCATTCAAATCCACAGCTCGGCTCGAGGGCATGACGCTAGTCCCGTCGTTACCGATATCATATAAGGAGCTCAATGTGATGCCCCAACTCGCACCCAACGCAACCCAGCCCGTAACGACAAAACCAGTTCTCGCCTCACGGAAATCATGGCCCGATACCTCGAAGTAATCAATGGCAACCCATCAGACGCCTCAATAGGCGTCGTCAAAGCCGAATGTACACCAGCAGAAGAAATCATAACACTCTACTCCAACATTCCCGCAGGTTCACGCCGAATCTTCGACCTCGCCGCATTTACGAGCCGGCTCTCTACCAATGAACGCGTGGGTTCATCGCTGCTTCCACTGTCCTTCAATCGGGTCTGATTGTCGACGCATTATGATCATTCACTTTCAGTACTTTCCTCACATTACAATGCCCAGCACAAGCGCCTCAGCCCGCGCAAGTGACCCATTTCGCTTGCTTGCCGATTCGAAGGGAACAGTTGTCTGCTTGATTCGGGGAAGTACTTACTGCCCGATAGTAGACACGGAGGAGAGAGAGGCACAGTAAAAATTCGAATTGCCACGGCCTTTTATTGCAACTGTAATTGTAACAGCCTTCTTCTACGATACATCCGCGAACCAACACCCAATCAACACCACTGCGGGAAAGTGGAAACCAGACCGGCTTACCCACAGCACTCCACTTGTGTCCTCACGACAGCCACCACCAACCTCTCTCTACCTCCTATTCCGACTAATCCCTCCTCCCGACCCTTGCGTACCCCCACTCTGCGCACTCATCCTCATCTCTTCCTCGTTCAACCCAGCCTCCGCCAAGATCTTCTCGACCTCTGCCAGGAGGGGTTTATACGCGTCTGTTCATCCAAGACCCGTCAGTTTTCAAAGGAAGCATGGTAAGAAGAGGGGAAAGGAAGACGTACCATACCGCTCCTCAGCCAGCGCAAAGCCAACCCTCCTGAGCTCCTTCCCTCTATTCTCGCCCTCTCTGTCGTCTTGAGCCGCTCGTTGCGTCCAATAGTCACCTAGACATCCGCGGAATCAGTATCTGCACCATGAAGTTTAGTCCATGGCACTCACGGCTCCGAGCATAGAACAAGGCCAGCGTCTCTCCAGGAATCGGCGTACTCATCGCCTCCTCTGCACTCCTCGCAGCCGCATCATTCGACGAAGTGAGGAACTTGCGCGCTTCTTGTCGTAGCTCTGGTTCTTCCTCTGCTTCCTCTACTTGGTCCAGGGTATCTTCATCTTCGGCTGGTACGATGTCTGCCTGATCGTCTACGGCTGCAGCAGCAGCAGCTTTCGCAAGTTTCTTTTCCTTCTTCTCCCGCCTCCTTCTCCGTCGTTCTTCTTTATCCTCATCTTGGTCGTCGCCTTCTCCCTCATCATCAACCTTGACCTTTTTCTTCTTTTTGGGTTTTATTTCTTCAATAACATCTTCCTTTCCCTCCTCCTCCACCCCATCGTCTTCACCAACCACCGTAACTTCATCATCATCCCCTGTCGGATAGGTATCATATTTCCCCTCCCACTCCTCTTCCTCGTCCTCTTCATCGCTCTCATCCTCCTCATCGTCACTATTGTCTTCGTCGTCTTCGTCATCCTCATCTTCACTACTCTCTTCGTCTTCCCCAGTCGGAATCTCAAAGCTCAACCTTCTCAAACACGTAAATCGCTCCAATTTATCCAGTTGGATCGAATGAAAGTCGTCAAGTGTATACTCCTTGGGGCCTTTTTCGAATATCCCACCGTATCTGGATCGTTTAATCAGTCAAGGAAGATGGAGAAGATAAGCCGGGACGAGAGAAATCACAACGCACATGTAGAGATTATTTTTCAACACCGCCAACATGGTGTTGTACCTCTGCGTCGGGATGGTCATATTTGGGTCTTCCACCTCTTGTGCCTCTTGAGGTGTCGGTTGAGCGGTTTCAGGTGCAGCTGGCGTCAACGGAGTTTGTCTCCACTGAAATGGGTACTCGTCAGTTCGCGATTCGTAACATATCCAGGAGAGCGAAATTCAGGTTGGGGGTACTCGGGAAAGCGTCACCCAGGAGGTCGACACCCAAAACAACACGACAAATGGATGAAAGAAGGAAACCCAACGCACCTCATCATCGCTATCATAATCTTCACCCCTCCCGCCACCCCCCTTTTTCTGCTTCTTCTTCCCTCCTTTCGCTTTTGGAATCTTGAGCCCAAGGCTGACCCACCGTCCTTTACCGGTTATCTGATAGCCGAACCTATAAGCGTTGGACGAGATGTCAATGGTGTGTCGAAAGCTTGAAACGCGACGACTGGAGAGAAGATATGGGGCAATAAGAGGTAGAGAACAAAGTTTCGGGAAAGAAAGAAAGAGGAAGAAGCGCCGAAGGAAGCGGGAAAAAGGAAGCGAAATCTCACATATCATTATGAAACACACTCTCAAGCGTCTCCTCACTCGTATCTTCATCCGTCACACCGCCAAACATAACACCCATATTCTTGGCTTGCCACAGCGCCATCGTACATCCTGCACAAGGCATCAGATCCAAAGTTGAACGGTGATTCCAAAGACGAAGCGGGGAACGACAAGGTCATGTTCGACAAAGACAAAGTAGGGCTCGATGCGATAAACGAGAACGACGAAAGAAGACTCACCGCTCCTTAGACTAGGCGCAAACGCATCACTAGGCCTCTTCCTCCTCTCCCACTTGGCCGTCAAACCCAACGGTACGGCAGGCCCTTTACCCCATCCTCCTCCAGCAGTCGTCGCTCCTCCCTTGGCTTTTTTCGAGGAGGATGCTGTGGATGTGGAGGGAGTGGAAGGCGTTGCTGGTGTCGCTCCAGACGTTTCGGGTAAGGCGAGTCTGGGTCAATGAAGGTGAGTGAAGGGAGGAGGATGGGGGGTGGGGAAAGACGGACTTGAGTAACCAGGTATCCTCTAACATGACTCCGACTGGTCTTTTGCCTTTTGCATACTGCTTACAGTACCCGCCTTTAAACCCTCAGTCAGGTTGCGTAGCTTTAGCCGGCAGAGAGGGTGTACGAACCGTGGAGGATGATACCTTCCGCGCAAGGGAGGAATGAGAATCCACTTCGAGGTCTGGTCATGTGTATAAGCCACCGAGGAAGAAAGGAAGAAATAAGAGAAGAGAGACGACGTACGAAGGCTTTAACTCTGTCTCCCGAAACTCGACTTGCTTCCATACGTATTCTTGTGTGTCAAAGATCCATAAGTCGTTTAGGTACCTGGCTACAACCACGGTCAACGATCAGTCTCTCCACTAGCGAGGATCGCAAACGCCCTAGCAGCTCAGGACGCAAGGAAGAGCGAGCCACTCACTCGTCACGCCAGGATCGTAGAACCCTCCAAAGAGCACTACGAAATGTTTCCACATCGCCATTCGATGGCCTGATCTGGCGCTCGGTCTGACTTTGGTCTCGATACGGTCCCATGTGTGCGACGTCACATCGAAGCACCAGAAATCGCCATAGTGGTGGAAAGAGTTTTGGTGGAGGGAGGAGAACTCGCCGCCTGATGACGATAGACGTCAAGAAGAGAGAGAGGAGGCGACGGAAGCCCTAGAACGCACCGAACAAGAATAACTTTCCGCCCCCAGCAGGCGAGGAACAGACTGCATGTGCCGATCTAGGTCCAGGACAAGTAGGCGTGACAAACTTTCTCCACTCGTCCTTCTCTGGCGTATACCTGAACACGTCGTTGTAAAAGTGCTATCTGGGTTGATCAGCTCCTCGTCTCTCTCTCTCTCTCTCCCTCTTCCCTTTCCACAACCAAAGGAAGAGAGACTCACGGCCTTGCCATCCTCACTAAACCACTCCCCTCCAATACTCCATAGATGCCCTCCGTTAGGACATGGTGTAAGCGTCGCGTTGGCCCGTCGAGACGGGGGACCCGCTACGAGTTCTTCGGTGACGAGGTGCGCTGCTTCGTGTTCCTTGCGCATCTTTTCGAGGATGCCTTCGAGATCGTCGTCGCTGTCTTCATCATCTTTGCCTCCGCCGCCGCGTCCTTTCTTTCCGCCTTTGCCTTTCTTCTTTTGTTGGGCTATAATGATAGGAGGACATTAGTGAGAACGGATGAGGGAGAGAGGGAGGGACAGAGTGACAAAGGGTGAAGCTCACCTGGGATGCTCCCAGTCTCTTTCAAGACTTTCTTCTTCTCTTTCCTCTCAACTTTTAGTTGAGCCTTGGCTTTCTTTGCAGCTTTAGCAGCCGCGTTTGCATTCTTCTTTCCCATCCTAGCGTAGCCAGGTCCGCTCCTGTAAATTGTAGTTGTGTGCTTCAATGGTCAGTCCAGCTCGACGTCCAAGGTATAGTGTGTTGTCGCTGTAGTTTGTTCAATCAAGGTCTCAGAGGATGTGGCTTCCAGGAGTACCAAGATGGACGGATATACCGCATCGAAGGACGTAGACCAAGAAGATGATGGGCGTCAGAATTCAACTGGGAAATCTAATCAAAGCGACGTCAGTGATCACTGTGCATCCTCCAACGTCCTGCCTTCATAAAGGTTTACGACCGCGAATTTCTCATGTCCGATATGGTGTAACGGCTAACATTACCGCCTTTCATTCTCTCGTCCTGGAAATTTGTGGGCGCGGTAGCTCGGGGTTCGATTCCCCGTATCGGAACGTGAAAAATGCTCTGGCATCTGTTTTTCTTTTTGAAAGAACTTTGAGCTGGCTCCGAGTCGAACATTTCTGATGAACAGGCAATCCTTGATTGGGCTCAGTGTGGGCCTGGTGACAAGCAGGCAGAATTAGGAGCGCAGGACGTAGGAGCACAGCTCAGCTCTCTCCAAATGAACCAGAGGACCTAAGCGATACTTTGCACGTACCATGGGATATACGTAGTCAAGAATTCGGCCGCATTGCCGCTGCACTTCATGCTTACGGGCGCTTGATAGTGACCGAAGGTATGCTCATTTCAGAGCTTGCCTATCATGGCTAGGCCACCTACAAGGCTACTTTGAGGATTCCAAATATACGAGCATTTTGAAGGGGAAGGTCAGTCTACACGTTGCGCGTTACTCTATCCTTAAACTAAGCCTAATGTCCTCCAGGATCTTTCAGTCCTAGTCCGTCAGTACCTCGCTAGAGGGACGCTCAGCGTATCAACGCCTCAATGACCAAACCTCCGCCTCCGATATGGTGTAAAGGCTAACATTACCGCCTTTCGTAAAGTTCATTTGCTTTGGCTACATATTTATGAGCGCGGTAGCTCGGGGTTCGATTCCCTGTATCGGGGTATGCTCCTTTCGGTATATACTTTTGTAAAAGGCATGGATAGGTAAAGTTTGACTAGGTCCCCCTTTGTGATCTTGTTGCTCATTAGTGAGAAGTGCAGGCCCCACCACCTGTTCTGGTAGCTATAGCCCGCTCTCTCGATGAAATGAGCAATAGATTCTTCACGCTAACATTGAGTCTACTGTTTGTAGACTCGTGAACAGCTGCTGAATGAGAGGTACTGGGGGGGATCCCGCTATTGAGCTCGCACATACAGCGACGATCACCGGCCTATATCCCAAACGCTGTATTTCTCTTGAGTTATCTTTTGTTTGTACCACGTCGATATCATCAATGGCGTCGATAACATCCATCTCCAGTATGGCGCAGTGGCGTCCCTTCACACGCACATGCACGAGGTTGGAGGGAAACGCAAGCTCGGGGTTCGATTCCCATCTCGGAAATCCTGTCTGATAACCTGCATTTTATTGCTTGAACTAGCCGTGTATGAGATGGCAAGCAGAGATCTACAGTAAGCATCGTTTTGTGAGAGGAGATTTTGGTTCAAGATTTGGGATTGAAACGATTGTGCCATCCAGCACAAGCAGTGCACTCTCCTGGACTCGTCACACCTGTGATACACTCTGAGCCTTCCGAAATTTATAGCAACGGTAGCAGTCTGACCAAGGCGTAGAAACTCTTACCGTGGATTCTCACATCTATAGAGAAATCATGGCTTCACCACTGTCCACTTGTGGTATGGTAAAGCGGTACTTCTTCAACCCTTCATAGCTACATGAGCTTGAAGGGGAAGGCGAGTTCGAGGTTCGATTCCCCGACTAGGAAATACAATCAAGGGTTCGTAGTCAATTTTTATTGCTTGAACCCGCTGCCTCGATAATCCCATTTAATCTAGGATGGAAGCTGAGTCAATTGGGTTTGGGACGATCGTGCCTTTAACTACACAATGTTGGCTCACTCCAGGATTCGTCGCATCCACCACTGAGGTCTGTAGCCGCCATGGTGTTCCAACTAAGTCACACTAGAAACTCTGACAATTCACTTTAACTGCACTGCCCGCACGCGGTCAAAGGGCTCGCGGCATCTCGCTCACAACGGGCGCCTAACAGCGAAACAATTGACCGTCCGATCATTTCAATTCCTCAGACCCGATTTGGCATTCGCCACTATGAGGTCGCTTTGTGCATTCTAAGGGTCATAGCGTCTCAAAGGACCGCTTCCTCTTTCAAATTTATCTGCTCTCAGCGATGGAGGACATGGTCCAAAGAGTGGGTTTCCTCAACGACAAAGAGGAGTAAGAGGGTGGTATAAGTGCAGGATTTGAGGGGTATGCGTTTGCACAACCAGCTGAAGAGGCCAATTCTATCCATAATCAAACATCTCACTCACTCTCAAAGCCTTCGTCGGCTCAATATAATCGACCATGAACCCTTCCTCCTCCTCCTCCTCCTCCTCCTCCTCCTCCTCCTCCTCCTCCTCCTCTTTGATCCATACACCTCCATCGCACATCCCCCCGACGTCCTATAGCTCCCTCTACGATGCTCTCACCCCCCGCCGCATGCATACCCCAGCCTGCCTAGTTACTAGCACGACGTACAGCTCTTTATCAGATGCCATGGCTGAGAAGGTGCCGCCCCTGCAGAGGATGCACGGTGCGTCTACGGTTTTGCGGGAGAAGGCATCTTCAAATAGAGAGGCCACTTATGTTGCTTCGAGTACGACCCGAGTTGGATCTTCAAGTCCAGCAACAACAGCGCAAGCTGTATCGACAAGCTCTTCCCTTTCGACCACTGTGAAACCTGAATCGCCTCAGAAGGCGGGTGTCAAGCAGGAATCGCAATCTTCGCAACCTGTCAATGTGAAGCGTGAGCGGCTTGAGGTAAAGATTGAGCAGTGAGCGTAGGAACTCGAGGCATTTGAGATCTGAGTCGTGACTGAACTTGTCGAGCTGCGTAGAGAAAGGAACGACTAGTTACATTATAATTAGCCAATTCTATAATTCGCCACTCTTGTATTGAGACAAGGCATTCAGAATAATCTGCTCAGCTCGTAGCGATTTGAGGGACTGTCGTGATTCATAGAGTTATATGCCAATCTACCCAAGGGAACAGCATCGTAACGTTGCTTACTGGACATTGTCTACCTCTCGGCTCATTACGGCATAGGACGTAATCGCGAAGGTGGAGAGTAGGAGGTTTAACGCCTCTCAACGGCATCCATCTGGGGTTTCCAAACTTTTGACCTGCCCTTGGATGAACGAACTTGAAAGGAGAGACGAAATGCCCTAGATACATCCATACTTTATTATTGCATGGGCGTCTTATTTCTCTATCCCTTTGATCCAGCAATCAAGAAACAGTTGTCTGCTCCCTAACATCCTCTCGCATACCCAGTGTCCCAACAGATGCCAGTAGTAGCCTTTACACGTTCAACGAGAGAGTTGTAGTATACTGGTAGCTGCCAGCCTTTCTTCACACCACCATCCGGCGCTTAATCCGTGTGGCGATTTCCTGTTGAAGGTCAAGTTGATCCCAGACGTCTTAAACCTCACACGCCATGCCCACACCCATCATTGAGAGGATTTCACGTCGAAAAGGCCACCCGTATTCAACTTTTACGCAATGCAGGCGATCACATTGGGCGGCTAATCACAGAAGTACGGCGATCCATGACGGTCGTTTATTACGGCTTTAAGCTCACTGTAAATGCGTCGGACGAAGGCCACTTTATTCACTGCACTTGTTATTCCTCCTGGATTGAGGAATCCTTACCGTAACACTCTGAGGGATGATCGCAATTCATTGAGTCATATATCAAATCCACACAAAGGAACAGAATCGGAGCATGGCGTAAAGGCAATTCGCAACCTCTTGGCTCCCTTTGGGGAAAGACGTAATAACGAGGTTAGCGATTGGGAGGTTCGACGCCTCCCAACGACATCCAGTCGGAATCCTGACGTATTTTTCTACCATGTCAGCGAAGATTGTGTTTAGGAGCACGACCAAAGGAGACGAAATGCACTAGACACGTCCGATTTCGTAATAGCCTAGGATGTAGTCTCCGTCTCTTTAATACACAAACGCCAAATTACAACCAGACTGAGATTGCAAATTAATTGCAAAGGATCCGAATCGTATGTAGCTCAGGGCGGTATTGAGCTTCATATTCTTGGAGATCGTGTAAGTGGGGTTGAGCGCTCTAAGCCCATCCGAAATGGTGCTTAACATATTTGGCGATTTCTCGTTGGCAACGAAGGTCGACCCCAGACCTACCGGACCTAAACCGTACAGATCTCAAATAAAGAAAGCTACATGGACCCGGCCGACCTCATTCGACCTTTGCTCAGTGCAAGCGATCACCAACTTGGGCCCTGGGCGGCTGCTCAATCACAAAAGTGTGGCGATCCGCGACGGTCGATCAATACGGGTTTAAGCTCACTTTAAGAGCGTCGGACGAAGGCCACTTTGAAATTTCCCCAAGGTCTGTGTCCAAGCATGAATCAAAGTGGTCCACCCTTTTGCACAGTCGTCAAGAGGAAACCCAAAGGAATTCAGAGGGCATGGTATAAGTTGAGAGTTTCGGGTCAGTATCGACCACAAGCAAGCCTCCTCGACTGCCCAGTACAAGTCCTACTACCCAATTACACACCCTTCCACCTCTGCAATGTTCAAACCTACCTCTGCCAACACCAAAGGATCCAACGCCATGCACACTGCAAGCTATGCTGTTCCACATACTTTATATAGCTCCCTCGGTGGTGCCATGCCCGACTACTTTGAGCCAAAACCAGTCGCCCAGGACCCCCTCGCGCAACCAATGCAGAACCTATCGATAAGCGGTCCTAAGAAGGGCTCAAAACCTGGTCTGACTGAGCAGATGAAATCGCTCTCACTGAAGAAATGACGAGAGATGTTGCCTGAATTCTATCCTATCCGACGTCTTGGAATTAAAGCATGAAGTGGATTTCGCACTATGGCTTCGATGATATCTTATACATGTATATAATGGCAATAAATCAAGAGCAAGAGGGTAAATGATGGGTTGAAGTAACGAGTGTAGATGTCTAAAGAGCGAAATATATATACCCAACCAATCCTGCATCCTCTTCTCAAAGCCTGGCGACAACGAGGTCCTTCGTCTGTTTCTGATGAAGTGGCGATGGCCCACCCACCGTCTCACTGTCCGTCTCTACCTCTGGCTTCTTCAAACCCCAATGGGCCAACCATTTGCCAACCATATCCTTCGCATCCAGCATTGGTATTGCCTGATCGTCTCTCATCGCCGGCGAAAACGCCATCGCATTCCTCATGTCCAAAATCGGCACCCTCTGGCCATCGACAAGCGGCTTCGTATGCTCAGCGTACAGACTCGATGCGCCGATGTAAGGTAGGAGCTTGATACTTCTTCCTTTGCGTCTTGAACGTGAGATCTTTCGCGTCTGCTGTGGATGTTGGCGATAGAAGAGAGGACTCGGACATCGATGCAGGGGTAGAGTTGGAAGTGATGGTTGACGTCTGGGAGTGAGACAGTGGCGTGGAAGTCTGCAGGCGGTCTGCAACCGTTTGGACGGCCTTTATCCAATCTTCCATAGGTATCAGAGGGAGTCTAAGCTCACGCGCAATCTCGGACGTGACATCGTCCCAGCAGATGGGACGGGGGTGGACAAGATGCGCAACCTGGTGTCCTCGAATAGGGTGCTTCGCAAAGTCAATGTAGGCTCGTGCAGCGAGAGTGTATGTCAGCCAGTTGGCGCACTGCGCACGCCAATAAAATTTGGTTAATTCACTCGTCCAACAGAAATCGAGACCTACCGATTCTGTACAGCTGGGAATGATACCCAGGTTGACACCAGTGATGATGATGGAGGGGAACCATTCTTGACTTGTCCAAGAACCGTTGTCACCCCCGCATAATTGACCCACACGAACGACCATGGTTCGTAACTTATCGCCGCTGAGTGAGACCTGAGAAGCACGGGAAAGGAGCTGCTCTACAACCCAT